AGCACAGGAGAGGTGGAAACCGTGTTAGAAGAAAGAAAGAGGTGGATGTGAGGATAGGTACGCTGAATGTGGGAACAATGACAGGAAAGAACAGAGAGGTTGTAGTCATGACAGAGAGGAGGAAACGGGAGGCTTTTTATTTACAGGAGACAAAGTGAAAAGTAAGGCGAGGGATCTAGGTGCTGGTTACAAGCTGTATCATGGGGAGAATGGAGCGACAGATGGTGAAAGGAATAGACACAAATGGTGTGTTCGAGGTGAGAAGGATAACAGTGTGGTAAGGGCTTATTCTTCATAGGTGGGATGTGACAGAAAGAAGAAAGAGGAGTTTTGAGAGAAGCTAGATGAAGCTGTTGAGTTGATTCCAAAGGAGGAAAGACTCATAATTGGTGCGGATTTTAATTGACATTTTGGTGAGGGAAACATCGGAGATGAGAGAGTGATAGGAAAGTATGGGTATGGTGCACTTAATAATGAAGGTCAAGCCACTGTATACTTTGCCTATCACATAGATATGGCCGTGATAAACACACTTTATAGTACGCGTGAATCACACAAGGTCACATACAGAAGTGGAGGCTGGCGTGCTCAGATTGATTACAGATTAATTCTGTGACCAGAAGATGAACTGGGAGGAAGACAACACCTGGGTAGAGGTATCGAACGTATTACGGGAAACAACAAAGGTATTGCTTGGTATGACAACCTGAAATAAGAAGGGGGACAAGGAAATATGGTGGTGGAACGAAGAAGTACAGGAAGCTATTATGAGAAAGAAAGAAGCATGGAAAAAAAGTGGCACAAGAGAAAAGATCTGAGAAGCAAGTTTTTGTACAAGGAAGCAAACAACAAGAGGGGGAAAACATGGTGTATAGAGTGACAAAGCAAAGGGATAGAGCAGCAAAGGATGTACAGCCAATCAGTCTGATAAAGGATGCTGAGGGTAAAGTGTTGACCACCGAGGAGGAGATGCTGCAGAGATAGAAGGACTACTTCGAAGGGCTAATGAATGTTGAAAACCACAGGGAAATGCGAGAGAGGAAAATGGGGGTGATCGCAGAAATAATGGTTGCAGGAATAATACAGGATGAGGTAAAGAAGGCACTGAAGAAGAAGGCAAAACTCTAGGACCAGACAACATTCCTTTAAAAGCATGGATAAGCCTGGAAGAAGCAGAGGTTGGATACTTGACATCCCTCTTCAACAAAACCCTTGCAGGAACGAGAATTCCAGATGAACGGAGAAAGAGTATCTTGAAATCCATTTACAAGAACAAAGGAGACGCGCAGGATTGTCGTAACTAGCGAGGTATCAAACTAATGAGTCATACAATGAACTTGTGGGAAAGGGTTATTACACAAGGCTTAGGAATTTGTGATGAACAGTTTATTTTTATGGCAGGGGGAAGTACCACAGATGTCATATTTACACTGCGAATGTGGACTGAAAAGTACAGAGAGGGACAAAGGCAACTGGATTGTGTGTTAATGGATCTGGAAAAGGCATATGATAGAGTACCAAGAGAGGAACTGTGGTACTGCATGCGGGAGTCATCGATACCGGAAGTGTATGTAAAGATAGTACAAGATAGGTTTAATGAATGTATGACAGCAGTGAGAAGTGCAATACACAGAGGGGCTTAAGGTTGAAGTTGGATTACACCTGGGGTCAACCCTGAGCCCGTTCTTGTTTGCTGTTATCATGGATAAGTTAACTAATGGGCTTAGCAAAGGAGCCCCGTGGTCTGTGATGTTTGCAGACATTGTGTTATGTAGCGAAAGTAGAGGAGAAGTAGAAGCAGATCTGGAAAGGTGGAGACATGCATTGGAGACGCGTGGCATGAAAGTCAGCAGAAGGAAGACAGAGTATCTCTATGTAAATGAGAAGGAAGGAATGTTGAGTTAAGAAGGAAGGGAAAGAGATCGAGAAAGTGAATGGATTTAAGTATTTGGGTTCAACAGTAGACTGTGAAGGATCTAGAAATGCTAAAGTTAAAAGGAGAACGTAGACAGGGTGAAACAGGGGGAGAAAAGTGACGGGAGTTTTGTGTGACAGGGAGTGAAGGGGAAAATCTATAGGGATGTGTGTAAGACCAGCAATGTTGTATGGCATGCAGACAGTACCAGTAACAAAGTTCCAAGAAGCAAAGATGGAGGTGGCAGAGATGCGAATATTGAGATTCGCTCTGCGTCTCGCACGGAAAAACAGAATAAGGAATGAGATAGTGAGGTACATGCTAGCCACAAGAAGGCTTGGGGAGAAGTTAAGAGAGTGGAGACTGAGATGGTTTGGAGAGAAATACATTGGCCAAAAAATGATGCAGATGACAATGCCAGGAAAGAGACGTAAAGGCAGACCTAAAAGGCGTTTTATGGACAACATCGGAGAAGATATGAGGCAAGTAGGTGCTGTGGAGGAGGACACTCAAGATAGAAAGAGATGGAGAAAGTTGACGCGCTGTGGTGACCCCTGTTGCAAGGAAAAGCCGAAAGGCAAATAA